CTATCTGTGTTGCAAGGACCATTAAAAAATCTTTAACTAAAACTAAAAACGAGGTCTGCACTAAGAGGTTTGCATGTGTTCGAGATGTTGTTGTTGATGTTGTTATTGTTGTTGTTGTAGCTGTATCTTAAACAGCAATAATAAACCTAGACCTCTTCATGTACAAGAAACACATGCTGTTGAGTCAATCTAAGAGAATTTGCTAAGATCTTGACCACCAGACTTGTTGGTTCAGTGAACTTGCTGAGATCTTGACCACCAGACTAGTTGGTTCACTCCTACAATTATCGAATTTTGCAACATGGCTGCTCATTGTGCAGACAAGAGTAAAGGGGATACAACAGAAGAATCTCCATAGAATTCTAGTCAATTGTATGGGTAGTGTCCCCTGATCGCATCCAGCCCAATACTGCAGACGTGCAAGAGGATAGATAGATAGATAGATAGATAGATAGATAGATAGATAGATAGATAGATAGATAAATAGACGCCACCCCTCACACACATACACACACATAAACAATTAAACCAACAATACAACCAGAACGTAAGTTTCTACAAAAGTGGAGTTTATTTACCAAAAAAAAAATTAAATGCAACGAGGAAACCAATAAACACACATGACATTTTATAGCAACAAAGTAACTTTATTTCTTATCTTTAACTAGACATCATTTTAATTTTTTTTTAAACCTTCCCTGCATATGTACACACGCTCGATTAAAACAGGAACACGTCTTTGCAGCCACACCCTGCTATTTGTTAGATTTGGCAGTACAAAATTTGCATAAAACATTCCCAGTTTGTACAAGCACACTCGTTAAGCCAGGAAAGCATAATTATTTGCATCTACACAAGAACTTATACGTTGATGCCATTACAAAATATAATTAAACACACAGCTATGAAACCATACGTATATTTGACAAAAGATGAGTTTATTAACACAAAAAGAAAACCCACAAGTAAACCAATAAACACATATAGTGTACGGCAGTTAATCAAATAACTTTATTTCTTCACTTTAACTGTACAAAATGTGCATAAAAACCTTCCCTGTATATGTACTCACAAACTCGTCAAAACAGGAACACGTCTTTGCAGCCACACCCTCCCACCCTTCTCTCTTCTCACTCTGTTCTTCTCTTCTCTCTCTCTTTCTCTGTCTGTCTGTTTGTCTGTCTGTCTGTCTGTCTGTCTGTCTGTCTCTCTCTCTCTCTCTCTCTCTCTCTCTCTCTCTCTCTTCCTCTCTTATTTCTCACGCCTGTAAACACCCGTTTTTGTTTGTTTTGTGTGTTATTTGTTTGTGTGTATTCTTTTGTTCCTAATTTGCTACGTGCAGGCCTTGCTGATTTCGCTGTGAAAAGCTACGTCTGTTTGTTAGACTTATTCTGCAGCTTTAAAGTTTCCTTCTGTCGTCATCTCTCGTTTCTTTTCATACTCTGTTACTCTTTCTTACTGGTTCATCTCGAAAGAAGAGGGTGAGTAGGGTGAGGAGGAGAATGGTAATTGGAAAACAGGTTAGCAACAAACATGTTCGTCTCTCATCGGATATTTTTGTAAACTGTTTTTTTAATCCACTCAAATGTTAAAATAAAATAAAAAATATGGAAAGAGAGATCCAAGTCCCGGTAATGTCTCTGAGGAAAGAACTAAGCAAATTGCCAACACACTAAGCACAGGACACTTTTTTTTAACCCTCTCAAGATCTCTGACGCACACAATAGCCTACCTATTATTTTCGCTATCCCTAAGAATACAATCTAGACGTGTGCATGTTTATGACAATTGGAGAGAGATCGAGAGTCAAACGAAGGGTGTGACACAAGCGAACAGAAATCTCCCGATGCACGCAACTGGCAACAGCTTTACGACATTAGCCAAAGTGGCAATCATCGCGACGGGTTGTCACGACCCTTTATGTTGTTGACAGAGATACGGCGCATTTTGATGCTATTATTCTCGAACTCGAAGTAAGCGGATTTTCACAGGGACATGACGATTGTGCATGTGCTTGTGTTGTGCGTGGAAAGGTGGTTGGGTTGGGGAAGAGGTGGTTTTGGGGTGGATGTGTTTGCGTGTGTGTGTGTGTGTGTTTGTGTGTGTGTGCGTGTGTATATGTGTGAGTGGAGGGTGAGTGTATTGGTGATAGATAGATAGATAGATAGATAGATAGATAGATAGATAGATAGATAGATAGATAGATAGATAGATAGATAGATAGATAGATAGATAGATAGAAAAACGAATAATGTAAATAAAGAAAGAGATAAATATACATTATATACATCAATTATGCATAGTTGAGAGAGAGAGAGAAAGAGAGAGAGAAAGAGAAAGAGAGAAAGAGAGAGAGAGAGAAAGAGAGAGAGAGAGAGAGAGAGAGAGAGAGAGAGAGAGAGAGAGAGGGGGGGGGGTGACAGACATACATACATACATACATACAGACATAGAGAAACAGAGACAGGGACAACTTGCTGTGTCTTTTCCTCTGGTTGTATAATCTATTCGAACAAAGAACTGCAGTTCCTCTTGGTGGGTCCGGGTAGAGCTGACAAGCGCACAAGACACGTCATGTACTGAACAAACAGCTCTTTTAAAAAAGTTTTTGTTCAACAAAGACGCAACGTGCGGCAGTCTAGACCCGCCTCCACCACAATGAGTCCAACACCCGACCATCTATGCTCGCACTGTGGGCGAACCTTCCGAGCCCGGACAGGCCCAATCAGCCATCTCCTGGGCTCCACAGTCACCGTCAACAGACCAATTCGTGAAGTCACGGTCATCTTCAAAGGCGAAGGACGAACAACATCAACTTTCAGAAATGGAATTTTTGTCGAAAGTATCATTTATTGTTCAAACAAGACGAAAGAACAAACGAAAGAAAAAGGGGATGAATAAAAATAGTTTATTCTAAAAATCATATATATAAATTATGCTACAGGTCTACATCTCATTTTGTATTCCATATATACATATTATTTATATATGAATAAATGTATTGAAACAATGAAATATTCACTTTTCTTCTCTCTCTCTCTCTCTCTCTCTCTCTCTCTCTCTCTCTCTCTCTCTCTCTCTCTCTCTCTCTCTCTCACTCATTCTCTCTCTCACTAATTCTCTCTCTCTCTCTCTCTCTCTCTCTCTCTCTCTCTCTCTCTCTCTCTCTCTCTCTCTCTCTCTCTCATTTCGCCTTTCAGCAGTTACACACAACAAGAAGACGCTGCCAATAATATAAATAGAAATAAAGAGTCTTTAATCTACATGACTTGCATTCGTTTTCCATGAATAGCACATTTTTAGAATCATATTATTTTGTAATATTTCAGTGATACAGTCAACTTATTGTAAGTTTGACACAGGGACCGATTCAGAGATGTGTGGAAAGTAGCTACAGGTACATCAAAATAACTTGGATGTATCATACAAGTAAAATGACATTTCCACCGTGATAGGCCTCACAAATATCATTCCCATTCCTCCTCTCATACTCTCAAGTTTCTCTTTTGCATGTGTGTGCTCATGCACGCATGTTCACATACACACAAACACAAACACACACACACACACACACAAACACAAAAAAACACACATAAATACACACACACATACATAAACACAAGCACATGTACACAGACAAGAAAGTGTGCAAATGTGTACTCACACAATCAAACACAGGAACAAGCACACACACATACATATATTTGGGAATACACACACACACACACACACACACA